AAAGAAAGAAAGAAAAGACACTCTTTTACTGGAAAGCTAATTTTGAACGGCAAACATGTAAATTACAGGAAACATATTCTTTTTATTAGGTCACCACAAAAATATTTCTAACTAAATTCTTATCTTGAGGACAATATGGTACATGCAAAATCATCAGTATGGTCGATTCAAGAGGCAAGATTTAAAAAAATGCATTAATATGGACCAAATTCATATATATCCTTGTGATAAAAGTTGACATCTTATTATCTTTTTAGGGGGAAAGTGGTGTATTAATTTTATTGCTTTGCAGCATTGTTCGCTTCTAACCAGCTAAAATATCATTTGGGCCAGTGTAATGAGGTGCACGTAGAACTACACCATAAGAAGCAGTTACTATCTGTAACTTTCGATGGTTAACTTTAAAAAGTGCTAAAAATCCATATATTAAATTGAAAGGAATTTCCTATTAATTAGAATGAAAATCCGCACTTGGCCCGTGTGGCCCAGTGGCAAGAGCCACTGAAAAAGTGCACATCCCCCTTCCTTGGGCGGGTTTCGAATCCACCCCATGACAAAACTGTTAAAAAAAAAAAAATTAGAATGAAAATCCTAGTTCTTGGCATCCATCCCTATGTCACATTGAAATAAATTAAAACTAGTGGCTTGCCCAATAAACAGTGACTATGGGTTCGATCATTATTATACCTGAAGTTTTAACTGTGAATTCTAATTCAGTCAATTTATGTATTTTGTGTGTTTATTTGTATTTTTCAACTACATATTTGAGTTGAGGGAAATGAAGAGGAGGGGAAAAGAATTTTATCCCTCTATTCCCCTGCTCTCTCTTTCCTTTATTTGAATAAGTTAATAAATTAAGTGAAAAGATAAAGGAAGATTGTCCCCTCTATTCCCCTTAACTTAAACATGCAATAAGTTTGTTTGTTTGTTTTTAATTTCAAACTAAAAAATAATAATTTTTTAATGAATATTTGTATAGTATGTTAAATCAAAATGTATACCAATCAACATTCAAAAAAAAAATCTTAATTTTTGTATGTAAATGTGAATACAATTTGTTTTTCTTGTAAAAAAAAAAAAAATCCTTATAATTAATTTCCAATCATCCATAGGAGCCTTCCTAGATACTCTTTAAATTTGGTTTAATGAACTTCTTTGTTTGTCTAAATACTAGCCGTTGGCAGGCGTGGCGCGTGACAATACAACAAACCCCGAATTCACTTCACCTGGATCAAACCCACGTTAGCAGTGATTAAGTCCTAACAACTCTGGATCGGTGAATTAGGAAAAACCATCTATCTATTTTCTGTAATTACAAGTAAATAAATAAATATCAAAAATAAAAAATAAAAAGCATATCTTGAGCATCTTTTCTACTATAAATGCAGCCTACACTCCAAGGAAAAAACCATCTTAGCTGCAAATAACATTCAAATTCTTTTCAGGCTTTTGCTTAAGAAAATGGCAGCTCCAGGGAAGAAAACTAGGGGAAGGCAAAAGATCGAGATGAAGAAGATCGAAAATGAGGATGACAAGCTGATTACTTTCTCCAAACGTAGAACTGGGATATACAAAAAGGCTAGTGAGTTAGTCACTCTCTGCGGTGCTGAAATTGGTTTCGTGGTATTTTCTCCCGCAGGTAAATATCCATTTTGTTAGTTGGAATGTATTTCTTGAACTGACTTATATATGTATGTTTTTTTAAGTACTGAAATCAATTTTATTGTCTTTTTCCGACAGGAAAACCATTTTCGTTCGGACATCCTTCTATTGAATCGATTGTGAACAAGTATCTCAATGAAAACCCGCCACCAAATGATAACACACATCCGCTTGTTGAGGCTCACCGGAAGATGAAGATCAACCAGCTGACCCATCAGTATAATGAGATAGAGGTGCAGTTGGATTCGGAAATGGAGCGAGGGAAGATGCTGGACAAGATGAATGCTGGGAGAAGGAAGGGATGGTGGGAAAAGCCAATGGATCAAATGAACCTGGAGGAGCTGAAGCAGTTTGGGAAGTCTCTGGAGAATCTCCGCGACAGAGTCGCCAGAAAATTTAATGAGAAGCTGGTGGTTGCTGCTGCTGCTGCTCCCCGTCCTCCTCCCCAGGCAATGATGGATCCTACTCAGATGATGAATTATCCATATGGAACCAATATAGGAAATGATATTGCTGGCCCCTCCTACTATGTTCCAGGGCCCCCAAGCTATGGCTTTCCTCGCGAGAGACAATTCTGAACGATTGTATGATCTCTTTTTTGAGAATCAATATGGATGAATAAAGTTATTTACCTTTCCTATGCATTTCTAAGGTTTGGAAAATTGGAATAAATGGGGGTTGCTCCCCCAAAACCGAAATAATCATGTGTCCTACATGGTTAGTCTGGCTATTGTAACCTTGTCAGGTCTTTCGCTAGCTAGTATTGTGATTTGCTGGTTCATGTTGTTTGCAATGAAATTAATCTTTTATCTTATAT